TCATAGCCGGTCCTGCAATCTGCTCTTGCGCGTGCTGACTGTTATGTGTCAGTAGTAATCGCGTCAGCTCTTGTACCTCGACAGCGCTTGTTTCGTCTCACGCCCGCTGTGCCCACGCCTGTAGCACCCCATTCCCCACCCGTCCAACCACACTCTGTCCTCGCGCGTCCGGCAAGCTGTCCCTGGAACGCACCACCCGTCTAGCTCGCACATTAAGCATTGTGCTGCGCGTCCGTTGGCGGTACCATCTCTAATCTCGTCAAGCCCCATCGTCGCAGATCGCTGCGTCCGACAGGGCAGCTAGTAGTTCACCATGGCCGAAATTGCCCTGCCACGACACCGGGCTACACAGTCGCAAGCTGGTGTCGGCTCACCGCTCTACCAGCGTCGACAACACTCCAATGCCGGCCCCATTGAGCTCATCCCCAACCCGGAATTCTCCTTCCCCATGCGAGGACCAGATACCGCCTCTTCAGAGCCTGCACCCACAAACTCGCGGCCAATGTCCCTGCAAGCGTATCCAGCTGGTCGTCGAGGCTCCATGCCGCACTACCGACAGAAGTCTATCAACGCTCTACCAGACTTTTCCTTCAATCCTGCAGGACCAGCAAAGCCAGCCACCATCGAATCTTCACCACCACAGTCACCGGCGACACTGCCTGTACCAGTATCGCCGTCAAAGCCGGCACATGGCCATAGACGCGGTGGGAGCGAGTTCATTGGCGGTGACGTGCGACCTGGCGGCACCGCCCTGATGAGCAGCAGCCCGACAAAGGGAGAGGATGTCCTTCCTACACCGAGCTCGACACTGCGTCCGGGTCCGCCAGCGGGTCGTCGCGGACACGCTCATCGTCGCTCGGGTGCCATCTCCTCTCACGACCTCACAACCATCATGAACCCACCTGCTCCAGCGCGAACGGGCAGCGCGCCCAACACACCCTCCGAGGGCAACCAGTTCGCTTTTGGTCATAAATTCAACAGATCTGTCTCGCAACCCTCGCTACGCGAAAACGGCGCAGACGATGAGGCGCGACCACCATCAAGGGCCCGTGTTACCTTCTCCGATAGAATCGAGACCATCCGTCCGCTCTCCACCATCTCCTCCGAGACTGAAATCTCAACCATCAGGGGACACTCAGCTGCCAACAGCCTGTCCTCGATTGTCAGTTGCAGCAGCCCGGCGCCTGTGCGACCAGGACGCCCCAGCACAACTCTAAACACAGTTGAAGACGAGGACCGACCAAGCACGGCTGGAATGGTGCTCGACAAGTTCATGGGCAGCCGCCTAAATGGCGAGGTCATCGAACGCAAGCGACCCACGTCCGCCATCTCGCCCATTTCGCCAACCGCGCCCACCCCGAAAGTACAAGCCAAGCGACGAAGTCTCTTCCAAAAGGATCGCAGTGATAACTCAGTTCCTACCCTTCCTACCAGTGCCTCCGATCCTGCCCTCTCCAAATCCTTCGACACACCTCTAGCATCACCCACTAAAGATGACGACTCAGCACAGGTCGCCGAAAAGCCGAAAGCTGCGTCGCGCAAAAGCGGTCGCAAGCCCCGGAAAGTCAAGTCATGGGCAAACTCCATCATCACCAGGAAAGGAAAGCACAGCAAAAAGGCAAAGGCACGATCTCCCACACCACCACCATATGCGGGCATGGACACCGAAGACTCCGATGAATCAGACGAGATGGACTTTGAGCCCAACTTTGATGATGACACCACAGTCACCATCGTCTCCCCCACCGAGAACTCAGTTCCTCTGCCGAAGATTGACACCGACTACGCTTCGTGGCAACCACGTGAGCTGAAGCGGGTTGATTCTGACATCATGAGCCCGGTGATCGACCTTGATGCCGCACTTGGACCCTTCAACACTCCCAACGGCACGAGCCCTCGAACCCACCAGCGGGGCTTTTCGGCACATCGACGAGCCATGCACAGTGCTGGCGGCATTGCACCTTCGCACAGGAGGACGGAGAGCGCACCTGAATTGGTACCCTTTGAGAACCGACCATCAGCAGTTGCTAATGCCTCGCCTATGGCCGATGTGTTCGAAGAGGAGGAACCAGAAGACGACCTGGCTCTGGCGATTCCTGCAAAGGCAAAGTCTACTGCTGCAGAACCTGAAGAGCCGAAGATCTCGGTCGTGGAGGCAGATGCGAACCAGGAGGGCACTGCTATCAACTGGAACTTCAACGACGGACTTGGCATCAAGCGTACTGCGAAGCACGACGACGTTGATGCATCTGAGCCACTGTCTCCTCGAGCAGTGCCTGCTGAGTCCAGCGAGAACGTCTCTGAGCAAACGCAGGCCTCGGAACCCTTTGAAGTTGTGGAGGATCATGAGGAGCCCCGCACATCATCACTTACACATTCGTCCGACTCCACTGTCACCGCTCAGCCAATGGAGGATTCGCCAAAGCATCATCAACCTGCCATGAACTTGTCGCTCCCACTGGGTCAACAAAGTCTCATGACACCCGACACGGTTACTTCTTCGTTTTCCTCGCCAGACTGCCGATCCAGTCAGATTTCGTTCGATAACGGCCGTGGAGGCACTGCAGCTTCCTCGATGACCGACTACCCCGTGATGCCTTCTCCCCGCTTTGGCGAGCCTGGACCTGAAGTTCGCATCTCTACGGAGGTCCCGTCTCTGACTTCTTCCAGGTCGACGATGACCAGTGCAATGCAGAACGCATTCCCGCTTGTCAGTCCCCGTCGATTTGGCGACCGCACCTCTTCTCTCTCCTCTGATCCCAGTGAGATTGAGTCCCGCCGTCGCAAGCGCTCTAGCATTGCTAGCCTCTCTAGGCTGATGGGAACTTCTTCTTCCTCGTTCAGCGAGCGCAGCAAGCTTTCCATTGAGCAGCGTCCTCAGTCAGAACATCGCGAGCCCACCAAGGACAAGAAGAAGAAGAACATCGGAAGCAGACTGAAAAAGTTCTTCCAGCACACCCGAGATTCCTCCCCATCAAAGACCTGAAGTGTTCATCATTGTCACGACTTGTACATCTTTGGCTCTTGCCTCAACCGACGATTTGCAGTTTGCTTTCTAGTAGCTGTTTCCACATCATATGACATTATGGCTGTGCTTCCATGAGCACATACATCACCTCTTTCCTCTCGCATGACCACGGAGTTTACAAGCGATGAATATTTAATGGCGCATTACCAACCTGCGATGCATACGCGAACCGGACTTTTTCTTACTCTCATTGAACAGCATCTCTTTCCTTATGAGTACTAGGAGGACGAGTTTACTAGGATTCCTGTGGTTTGCATCATTGCATGGGACCTCACCTGGCATACTTTGACTGGTTTTCACTGCGGCGGTAGCCATACACCGACCGCACATTCAATTTCCTTGCTCCACACTCTATTGGAGGTATATATTTGCTTATACCGTCCACACGCTCTCTCAGAGACGGTCGATTCTGCCCTTTGGCAGACATTTCACGACAGGACTCTTTCTTTGCTTCCTTTTCTTGACAGTCGTTTATTATGAAGCAGTACATACATCAGGGTATGCTGTAGTAAGCTGAGGATGGTGGGACACATGTATTTTGAACATGGCGGCACAAATCTCGTTGGGCAATCTGTACCATGAGCTTTTGAAAGGATAGATAGTGGGTTGAGCTGGATGAATGGCTGCAATCTTGAAAAAACAATCAAACTATGAATCATCTACATGGCCTTGTGTTCTCTCTCGTGACTCTCGAAATCACTGCAGTAGTGACTCTCCCGCTTGTTCGTGACAATGCAAATCTCGCTTCTTCATCCATCGCTTACCTCGAGCCGCTGCAATATGTCTCTGACGCCAACATGCCTGTCCACATCACTATCCGTTATCAAGACAACCAGCGCGAACTGGCCACCAGCTCATGCAAAGCCGTTATCGCGCACTGGCCTCACAATCTACCACATCGCCCGCGTGACAGCGGGACAAGAACCAAGATTTCATCTCACTTGCCCCGAGCGAGCCGCCACGGCGCACATGCACGGCAGGGACTTAGTCAGACCACGCCGTCTAAACGGTAAAGTGTAAAGTGACATAGAGTACGTGCGGGAAGCGACACGCGACCGTCGTTACGAAAGCCGCCCCCCATCATGCTGAAACCTCCGCGCCGAGGTTTGCGCACTGTTGTATGAAGGACTGCCGTTCATCAATTAGAACGGCCGGGGACCGACCGTTTTTCCTGTTCCTGTCTCGCTCCCGCACTTTCATTTATCTGTGTTGGAGGTTGTGCATGTGGGGTTGGCAGGATATGCAGGGGCGGCGGTGATCATTTAATTTGTAGATGGACCTCGGGAGTGTCAGGTGGTGATTAGTGAGTCAAGGTGAGTGACGCGATGCAGGTACGAGTCAAGCGAAGCGGGTGCAGGTGTTTCAGAATCTGGGGTGCGGGATAGATGGCGAAGCGAGGGGTGGTGCTGAGGCTGTGCTGTGTTGGCGATGGTGTTTGTGGTCGTTGCTAGGGGAGATGGCGGGATGGGTCTTTGGTTTGGTTTGATGTGGGGTTGACGACCTCGAGGAGAAACATTAAGGGCAGCATGGAGATGAGATGGTATGGGCTGTCATGATTCCTAATGTTAAACAGATTCTAGAGTTGAGAAGTAGAACATATATCACGGTTGCCTTCGAATGTAGAGCGGTACCTAGGTATACTGGAGGGATACACATACTTTGTAGGCCCAAAATACTCCAGTCAGCGCTGCCATAGTTAACTTGGATGATGCGTGAACGTTCTACATGCTTCAGGATTCATTGAAGGCATCAAACATTGGAAGACTTTCAATCGTGAAGTTCCTTCCTCAAATGCGCATCAGACTCGAGCATCGTGAAATGCGGTTAGTCTGGATTCGTGTTAGCGCACTTTCGCGGTGCGGGCAAGTTGGCATCACCGAGCAGTGACGACTGGAGCTCCCCGCAACAGCTATTCAACGGCTCCACCGCTACCTCGAGACCCTGAACACCGTCAACACGGTCGCGAACAAACATGGCAGACGAAGAGAAGGAGAAGGCGGAGAAGATCGCAGCGGCGAAGAAACGCGTACGTCTTCCCTCTCATTACTTCCTGAAGGCTGCCATTGCTCAGATACAGCTGGAAAATGGGGTCTTCTCCTAGCCCAAGTTTGAAATGACTCACTACAGTTAAGACGATACTGACAAATACGCATAGTACGAACAATTGAAGAAGCAGAAGGCGAAGAAGGCGGGCGGAGGAAAGAAGAAGGGAGACAAGACTGAGGAACCCGCCGAAGCCGAAGCCTCGACTGAAACCCCGACCGAAGCAACTTCTCCCGAAGAGAAGCCCGAACAGGTCGCGCCAGAACCCGTAGAAGCTACAAGCGTGCCAGAGCCGCCAGCAGAGGACGATGACGAGCCCTCGGAGCTAGCCGTACCCAAGCCGTCGCACGGCCGCAAGCCCTCAGTCGCCGTTGATTCGCGACAGCGCTCCGAATCTTTCTACCGCTCGGGAGCCGCTGGTGGACCTCTGTCGCCTGGAGGAGGGGTTGCAAGCGAGGTCTACCGGGAACAAGCACAGAAGATCGAGGAGCTCGAGAAGGAGAACAAGCGTCTGACAAGCGAAGTTGAAGAGAACCAGACCAGATGGAAGAAGGGCGAGGAAGAATTGGAGGAACTGCGAGAAGGCAGAGGTGATGTCGCGCTCGCTGTAGAGAAAGGCAAGGAGGCTGACAAGCTGGTATGCCTTCATCGATACTTTGGATATGGGACAGGTTACTCACATCAGCACAGAAAGCCGAAGTCGAATCGCTAAAGAGGCAACTTGCGCAGGCGCAAACGCAGAGCAACAAGTCCACACGCCGAACGTCGACCGCATCGCCTAGCCAAAGCGCATCCATCGACGATCTGAACGCGCAAGTCGCTTCAAAGTCCGCGACTATCGAGTCACTCGAGCTGGAAATATCGAACGTCAACAGACAGCTGTCAGAGCAAACGAACAAGAACAACGAGCTTCAGTCGAAGATTACAAGCCTGGAATCGGCAGTACAAAGGGCAGAACAAGAAGGAAGCTCAACGAAGACTGAGTTACAGGATCTCAAGGCGAGCCTGGACAAGGCTGGTGATCAGGCAGAGAAGGATGGTTCAGATCGCGACTCTGCGCAGACGCGCATTGCGCAACTGGAGGCTGAGTTGGGCACCGCGAACCGCAAGGCCTCAGACTCGGTCTCGCGCGCAGAGTTGCTGGAGAAGAAGATCGAGACTCTTACACAGCTACACCGCGACAACGACTCACGAAACCAAACACGCCTGCAAGAGCACAAGAAGATCGAGCGCGAAGCAACAGAACTACGAACCCGTATAACAGGTCTCAGCAATGAGAACGCGCGTCTCCGAGAGGCAGAGCAGCGTCGCCGCAAGGCAGACCTCGGCTCTATTGAGGACTCCAGTGTTCAAGAGCTCTTAGACGAAGAGCGCGACCGTCTCCTCGCTAAAGTGCGCGAGCTCGAGGAAGAGAACTTTGAGCTCCGCCGTGGCGTATGGCGCGACCGTCGCCGCGACATGCAACCCCCCATCGACGACCAAGCAGACGCCTCGCACCCCTACAATAGCTCCAACAGCTTCGACGACGTCGACCTCTCTGGAGCACCATCCCGTCAAGCCCTCCCCAACCGCACACACTCGTCCTTCCAAGACGTCATCCAGTCTGGCATCTCAGCCTTCACCGGCCAGAACCCCGCGCATCGAAGAAGCGACGCAGCGAGCAAGCCGAAGCCGAGACAAGAGAGCCTGGGTAGTTTGGACGAGTTTGAGATCGATGAGGATGCGTTTAGGCAGGCGCAGGAAGAGGAGGGCAAGAAGAGACTTGAGAGAGTCAGGGAGGTTAAGAGGGGCCTTGTGCAGTACAAGGGCTGGAGACCGGACTTTGTGGACGTCAGGGTGGGGATGGGTGGTGTCTTTGAGATATAAGCACCGGCTCACAGATATATGGTTACGGAGACTATGTATGATGGAGACTTCGGTCGGCCTTAGAAGAAATGCAGACATGAACAACATGGCCGATGCTTTTGGAATGCCGTATCAGGGATATGACATGCGTTATCCTAAGACTCCGCAGCACCGAAAGACAGCACATAGTATCCGCTTTTGTCGATTTAGTTCATCTAGTCGTTCTCCCACAGACCGCGACCACCATGACAGTGGTTGCAGTACTTTTCCAGGCACATAAGCGAGAAACATTGCGTTTTGGATCGAGAAGCAAGGTGGTATAGTACTTAAGACTTGGAGAAACGGGGCTTAATATACGTGTTTAGAACCCCGAAACGGAGCTTACATGTGGGGCTTCGTTTTTTCTGACAGAATCATAAACAGCTCTCCTGGACTTTTTGCGACACTGCTCACTCTTCATGAAGAGGTCTCTGACGATTTTGTGGTGCCACAACACACCCCGGAGCGGAAGACATGCCTTTTCGAACATGCTCTTTTAGGTCCCGTTGGCCATGTGGAAGTCGATTGCCGTTTTGGAAGAAAGTTGGTCCTCTTTGCTCACACGTCGTTAATCTGAAATGACTTTAGTATCCATGGTAAGCCCTAAAATGGCTTTTTGACAACTCTTCTCCGCACTCATCGCATGGTTGGGTGGCGATTTTTGATTTTTGGAAAGAGGGACGGTTGGAAGAAAGCAGATATGACCGATGCCACGGCTTTTGGAGACATGACAGCTAATTTCGCCTGTTTTGGAGAATAAGCATGTGCATGTTTTGATGAAGCGGGAAGAAAGAGTGCAAGTCGGAGAGGTTTATATACTCAGCAGTCGCCGGACGAGCGCCATGCCAACAGTCCGTTTTGACTTTCCAGAGTAAAGATATGCAGAATCTCTCAACCGGAGCATGCCATGGATCTTTTTATTCCTTTGGACCGCATTATTTTGATAGGTGAGCCATCGCGTCTGCTTCTCCGCCTCCATGATAGATAGGTCGGTTTTATTGTGGAAGCGGGAGGAAGCACATGGGCGCTCATAGATGTCTTTTTTTCTTTCGCAAACATCATAAATATCGTTTCCGAGTTTTGGTATAGAAAAAGGCAGGAGGGGTGTTTAGGATCGAAGTAGGAGGAAGCCGAGGCGATTTATATATGTGAGCGTACCAGTACAGCAGGAAGGCATAACCTACTTCTGATGCTCTTTTGTTGAGAGAAGGCACACAACCAATCTGTGCAAGCTTTCTCCTATCCCTGAACAAAATGATGTACATTCCTTTTCTCTCTGCGACCTGGCTCACATCCACGACTTCTTGGGGAATTTGGTTTTCCCAGGAACATCACAAAGAGGTTCGGTATTCTTTGGTGTAGCGATTAAGAGGAGAAATCTCATCTCCAAGATGTATTCGCGAGGACGTTGATGCGCCTCAACTATTCTTATGTACAACGTCGTTGAATAACACACCAATGCTCCTTGATTTGATAATGGCTGCCCCGCTAATCGATGCAAGTATACGCTTCGTATTGGTCAGCGTTCTGACCTTCCAGCACTGCATGCTGTGGGTATGGGCAAAGCCTCCTTGTCCTGTTACTTCCATCTGAAGGCTCCGTGGCCAGAACGTACTCAGGAGCTACACCATCCTCTACCCATGGGATGAGAGCTTCGAGAGAGTGGTACTTTCCAGGAACCTGAGGATAACTAGCAGCAGGGCCGCAGTGACCACCACCCGGGACCATGAACAAGCGCCAGAAATCATTAAGTTGTGCCTCGCCGTAGATGGCTTTCGCTTCGTTGTGCTGATCGATAGGCCAAGTAGGCGCGTTAAAAGGGTCAGCCCAGCCTATCCGCGTAAGTTTGATTTCGTGCTCGTGCAAATCTGGTGGACGACAAACCTTGCGATGCGACGAGCTTTCCACCTCGAGCCCTGAATGCATCGAGTCTTGGGGATGTTGCAGTGATTAAAGGACCTGCAACCTTGTCCACAATCTTGACGTCGTTCTGGAAGTCGAAAGTAGTGTAATCATAGCTCAGGTTCTTGAAGACAAGGTTCTGCAGTATGGGTACTGCATACGCGGTGTAGAGAGTTTCTTCCAGCAGAAGCCATTCGGATTCCGATCCCTTTGCAAACCCGGGGTATACATCGGCCCCAGGTCCAGCATAGAACGCCTCAAAAGTGGCAAGCTGCGTCTGATTCAGACATGTCGTTCTGTTATTCTCAACTTGAGCCTGCCCGGACCGGCACAGTAGTGATGTAATTTCGAAGTCGCACTTGCTTGGATCGTCGATCACTCCGTCTTTCACGCCATCAATGTCATCACACTTCTCCAGTGCTGCATCCCTTGCAAACGTGAGTACGTCCTGGGCTAGAAATCCACCAGGCTTCTGTGCGTGAAGGCCGTTCCACAGAAACGAAAGGATGAGGTGCGAGTACCAGTTGCCGGCACTTCCTGCAACAATACCATCGAAGATATCGGGATGGTACTGGGCAAGTGCATATCCTTGAGCGCCACCTGTAGAACAGCCTGAGAAGTAAGATTTCCGTGGAGGGTTTCGGAAGAACGTCGCTGTGATGGCTTTTGCTGGTACAGTGAACATCGCGATCGAATCCCGGATCCACGCTGCGGTCTGGGCATATGAGTGAAGGAATGGAACATAGCTTCCTGGCTCGGAGACGCCGTTCTCGGAAACCAAATGTCCAGAGTCACACCTTGAGGCCTATAAGTTAGCTCAACATGGCAAGATACAGAAGGGGCAAAAACAGACCCTCCAACAGCGAAGCCTGAGTTGAGATTCGTGGCCATTGCCTGGTAATCTATCACACCTGCAAGTCCGCCATTGCCTTCATGATGATGTCAGCAAGCACGAGGCACAAGAATTGATCTGATTGATTCAATACGTACCGACAGACAAATAGCGCCCATTGTAGTTTTCGTTCTCGGGTAGCCAGACTTCAAAATTTAGCGTGTTATTTGGACCGTATGGCATGAGTCCAACAACGCGACAAAAGGAAGCTGCATTTGTCTCCGTGATATTTTGAGCAGCCACAGCTGATATTTCAGCAATTCCGCCAATGTTTACACGACTGGAGCTGACAACGTAGTCCACACCGTGTCGTAACGAAGTACAACTGTCATGGTCCACAGGGCCAGAAAGTGCTGCCGCTAATAACGCGGCAAACGCGAGCTGTGTGTAAGCAAAGTGCAGCATGGCAGAGACTTCAGGATGATAAGAAGGAGTGAAGCGCTCGTTCACGATAACATGCGAAGTATTTGTTCTTTATGGCGCGTGGTTGTCGGCCCGATCGTAACTTCCGCAGAATGTCAATACGCACAAGCGTCGGTGACGATCACCGAAATCTTCCTCAACGAGTCAGTAGTTTACTGCAATGAATTTGCAAAATCTACCGAGCAAGGGTCTGGTCATTGTGGACGGCTCACGATGCGGAGTGGTTTGCGGGGTGGATCGGGCGGGCTGACCGACGTGGAGAAAAGACAATCGGCGACGGGCGACCGAGCCCGAGTAGCAGCTAGACTAGATTGGGTGCATGTCTGATGCTCGACTGACAGCTCCCGGTACAACAGAGACCGGACTTCTGCCTGCAGATTGCTTATATACCCGCAGCACTAGAGAGGAACTCGGACTTCGTGCAGCGACCGCACTCTCCTCGCTCGCATCAAATTGGCATTCTCGGCATTTGCACACATCAAACTCGACCTTTGTGCTACTTTTGCCATGAGGGGTTTGTAGTGATAATTTTGGAAACTGTTTGAGAGAAAGCAAAAGAGATCTCATTAAACATCCTACTCTTCATTGAGAGACATGTATGCTGTTCTTGTATCTTTGAGTATTCTGGAAGATACGGTGATTCCAGGAGTAAAAGGTCAGCAAGGTTGACGCTGGGTTCATGTATCCGCGCTGACGTAGCACGCATGGTGTTGTTCTCCATATTTTCTGGTCACAGTCCACATGTTGTGGATATGAAATGCTCTGGGCTTTTCACCGGGGTGCTGATACAATGATATTATAGGGGTAAGGAGATAAAGCCATGAAGACGAAGAAAGGAAGGCAAAGCCATCGGAATGTCGCTCGTGCCTCTTTGGGCGGAGACATTTGGACAGCGTTCAATGATTTTGAAGTGCTGGCCAGACAGATTGTAGTAAGACAAGAGAAGACGCGGGAAGGCTGGTAGGTTTATAGGTGCAAGGACGGAAAGACATCCGGTGGCATCATGTATCTTTTTGTGTGCTAGGAAATTGTTGTCTCTTGTCTTCCCATGCGGCATTCCTTTGTTGGTTTTGGATAGGCTCGGTTGAGAGAGCAGAAAGAGGGAACAGTCAGAGACATATTCTTTTGGTTCTTGATTTTCGGAAACATAACCTGTGCTAGTTTGAGTTTTTAATAAAGCTAAGACGTGGTGTATTGGGGAAGGAAGAAGAGCGGGCAGCAGGGAGGTATTTATATGCTCTAGCCCAGCCCACAGTCATTTGGGGATCATCGCCTACTTTAGTTACTAAGATAGAAACTCTGTATCTTAGTGACGAAGCTCGCCATCGACTCGACGGTTAACTCTTTTGATCAAAATTGGGCAGAAGAAAACAAACTCGGCAGGTGTTCAATCGTAAAATTTTGATAGTAAAACCCGAGCAGACATATTCCGGGGGAATGATTATTTTGTGTAGCTTTAAGACGGCTACTTCGTTGGAATGAAGGCCGCTGAATCTTTCTCACACACATTGCCATTTTGGTAAGGTGTTTTGAGAAGGAACGCTTTGAGTGTGTTAAAACTCGAGAGGCAGTAAAGAGGCAAGAGCCGCCCAAGGAAGTGCATTATATACCCGTACGACAGGCACAGTAATGAGTCGTATCCTGCCTTTCAGAACATACATGACGCCTTAATCTCTTTTTGTGCTATAAGGGTAGAGAGCAGTTCGATTGCTTTCGCGAAGCCAAGAGGCGAAAGGACTGGATCCCATGTAGCAGGCCATGGCTT